GGGAGCCACTAAAGCACATGGAACAGATTGCTGTTTAGAAAATTACACTTGCCCCCCACTATCTTGTTTCTGTCATTCATTTTCCTAATAATCTCAGCAGAGATGCGGGGCAGATGTTACTCCCAGCGCCCAGTTGGCAGCGCAGATTCTGTATCTAGCAGGACCTCTGTGCACATTTCTCTGAACTTGCTCTCTGTCTAGTAAATTAGTTCCTTCTGAGGAACAGTGTTTTTGCACCAGCACAGCCGCCTTCTTTGAACTACACTTGAAAAGAACTTTCAAAGGCAGCGCCAGCCTCCCCAAACACCTTTTTCCAAAGTGCTTTCCAAAGGAAGCTGTCTTCCTGTCTCCCAATATCCACCACCTTTCAGCTTTGCTTCTGAGGGCTTGGCTCAGAAGCGGTAGCTTGAAGGGACCAAGATGGCTGGAAGGATGGAAGTTAGCCTCACGAACCATAGCTGCCTTACTGATAACAGATTGTGCTGGGCTGCCAAAAGGAATTGTCCAGTGTATGATCTAGTTCCAGTTCGTGATTTGTGACCTGTCCCAGTTGTTGAAGTCACATGTCTTGATTTTTTTTCCTTTTTTGGAACTGATGTTTAGAGCTGTGTGAGTTGGATCGAATGCTGTATTAACATCTGTCCTAATCAGAAATGCTGTCAGTTATTAACCCTGATAGTCATTTTTATTTCAAAAATGTTCTTCCAAGTTCTCTCAAAAATGTCAAAATTTGGCTTCTTGGTAGGAAAAGGTAGGAAGCTGTTAGTGAAGTAGCTTAATTGCTGTGCATCAGTTTCCTCATCTGAGAAGTGAGAGTTTTGGTTAGTGCCTTCCATGTAGGGTTATCATGATTTCACACACGTAAAATTTTGTAACAGCTGGTCGGTGGATATGAGCCATTGTTATTATTGTTGTTAACAGTGGTTCTGTCTAGCCAACGTTCCATTCCCAGGAACTTCCTCTCCCCCAGTCACTACCCTCAAAAAATCAATGTTAAAAAAAATTGTTTAGTGAAGTTTTCCTATTCATTGTTTGACTCACCGGAGTGCACTGAGCCCATTCTCAGGGTTGTTGAGATGGGTAAGCATCAATCCCTGCTTCTACTTTTTGGGGAGGCCAAGAGGAAAATACCACTCAATAGCAGGTAATGACAGAATTACAGCTGGGAGGGATGGGATTTGCATTATCCCACCATCCGAGGTAAAAACCTGAGGACCCAAGGACAGAGAAGGCCTGGTTTATTCTAAAAGTTCTCCAAGTGTGAAACCAGCCTCCCACCCCCCCCACCCCGGACGCCCATCCCTGTCCAGTCCCATCTCCTGACTCTCCTGCCCTGCAGAGAGGCCTGTCTTCATCGAGTTTGGGCTCCACGGGAGACAGCCTGAGTGTGATACCTTAGGCTTCCAGACGATTCCATATGCGTGGAGTTGTTCTGAACAACCCTGGTTGATGCAGGAGGCAGGTGAGGAGGTGGGAACTGCTTTCCATGGGGTGGAAGGGTGAGTCTGAGAGGGAACTTGCCCTGAGCCACCCACAGGACTTCTGAGCAACCTGGCTGTGGTCACCTGGTGGCCTGGATGCCAAGCCTTGAACTGGGCATGGCAGTGTGAAATCCTGGCAAACCCTTTTTCATCAGAGCCAGAGGTGGTTGGGCTCCGGACCAGGCCCTGCAGGAAAATCCCGTCTGTGGAAAGCCTGTGGCCACGGCCTCCCACTTTCTGTTTGCTAAAGGGCGTGAGGAAGGGGAAGGTCAGCGACTTTTTATTTTTTCTTCAACAACCAAGACCCTGACCCATGACCTATTTACCAGAGGAAGTAGACAACAGCCAGAACCCTTTCATCACCTCCTGAACCCCTGGAAGAAGTTGTGAGAGTTGTAGCTGCTGAGTTGGCTGAAGGGACTGGGAAGGTGCAGAGCCCACCCGCTGTCTTCCTGGCTGTGGGGAGGGGGCAGTGGCCAGAGGCCCACGAGGTGGCCTGCGGTTAGTCTGGCTTGACTGCACTGTCTCATCCAGTCGTCTGTCAACACTCCCTCCACCACAGCCCCTCCCACAGACGCTGTCCACCCTGCAGCAGGCCCAGATCCATGGCCATGGGCACTGTGCAACATAAAGTCCCCAAAATTAAATGCAGGGGACATCTGTAATATTCTCTTGGCAAAACCTTTATTGAACACCTACTATGTGCCAGACATGCTCTGCTAGTCATTTGAGGTCAGAGGCTTTGGGCCAGCGTGCTTCCTAAGCAACAAGGCAGGGTTATTTTATTTCTTTTTGTTTGTTTGATTTTTGTTTTTAATATATCTTCTGACTCTTAATGCTTGACACGTAACAGATGTTCAGTAAACATTTGCCAAGTGAGGAATGTTTTGCTCTGTGCGGATTTGGGTTTGCAGTACATGCTCACTGATTCTTTCTAGGTGAACTCCTGTCGCGTACAACCCCGACTGTTACATTTCATTCCCCATTCCCTACTGTCAGTCAATTTGGGGGAGGAACAAGTAAACAGAAATGAGAAAGAGCCCTGTTTTGGAGAACTCTCCTCACTTACACAGATTACTAATTTATATAATAATTAGTAATTAGTTTAGGCTCCTTAATAATATGAATGATGGGCATTTCTTTGTATTTATTTGTATATTAATGCATGTACAGCTTGCCACCTTCCAAAAAAAAATTTCTGAGGCACTTAATGAAGATTTAAAAAGTTAAGAAAGGGAGGAATCTGGGTGAAGGAGAATTAAGAAAAAAGGGAGGATAAGGCTAGGCCCTAAATCCATGATATACAGCAGTGGTTCCTGAGTGGAGGTAATTCTGCCTGAGGACGTTTGGCAAGCCTGGAGACATTTTTGGTTGCCATGACTATAGAGGGTGCTTCTGGCATCTAGTGGGTAGAAGCCAGGGATGCACCTAAAAATCCTACAATGCACAAGACAGCCCCTGCAACAAAGTACTGTCTGACCCAAAATGTCAGTAGAGCCTAGGTTGAGAGACCCTGATGTACAGTATCTTTGGTGGAGTTTACCGCAGATGTGGCTGTGAGGCCCAGTGGGTCTCAGCTGGGGTGATACTCCCACCCTAGAAAGTTTTTAAGTATCGACCGTTGCTGACAGTGGTATTGACGGCCTGGGATATGAGGGACAGCCCTTCGCAGCAAAGAATTGTTCCACCAATGCCAACAACATGCCTGCTGGGAAACACTGGCCCTGTTCCTAAGATCCTGGGTATTCCAGGCAGAGCCCTGATCCTCACCCGGGACCCCCCAGTGTGGTGGCAGGACTATATGTTGGAGAGCCCTGTCTGCTGGGGCTCGCAGCCTCAGGCCGCAGAAGCCCCCCAGGTTATTTAGTCAATGGCTGGTCTCTTCACAAACAAGAGGGCGTCCTTATCAGTGGCAGTGGGGTGGGTGGGGAGTAGAGGACGGGGCCTGCTAGCCCCAGGAATTCTCCCAAGGTCCAGGGTCTGTTTGTAAAGCCTTCAGACAGCATTGTTTTTGTTTTAAGTGCGCAAGGATTTCTGAGCCAGACACATCTGACATGCAGATGATCACAGATTTTTAAAGGCTGTTGTCATGGTTTTGTCTCTGAAAGATTGCTATGTGCTGATGAAAGCTTTGAAGTCAGCTCTGGGACCCCAGTCCTGGCGGCCTCAGGATTTCAGAAGCAATTCTGAGCCTTGTCTGTCAGTGGTCGAGGCCTTTCTGCTGGGTCCAGTTAACCGTTTAGTATCACTCTTGCTCTGAGATCTGGAGGCCAGCCTGGGGTTCACTTGGGACTCTGGTGGAAAGCAGTTGATGTTTTCCTAAACATGTTCATTTCTGGGGTGCTAGTGGTTAGGGGAAGAGAATTGATCTGCCTGTCTATGCTCAGTCTCTATGAGGGTTTAGGGATCTGATGAGTTACCTCCAGAAGAAATTTCTTAGAGAAGGCAGTGCTTTGCCCTAAAAACTGATCATCAGTGGTGGGATTTCAGGCTGAGTGGCACATATGTGGAGTCCCTGGGTGATGCAAACGGTTGAATGCTCAGCTACTAACTGAAAGGAGGTGGTTTAAATCCACCGAGAGATGCCTTGGAAAAATGACACAGCAGTTGAAAACCCTATGTGCAGCGCAGTTCTGCTGTGAAACACATGGGGTCGCCATGATTTGGAGTCAACTCAAAGGCAACTGGTTTTTGTTTGGGGGGTTTGGGGGACATGTTATGGGTGAGACAGAAGCCCTGGTGACACGATAGTTAAGTGATTGACTGCTAACTGAAAGGTCGGTTTGAATCCACTAGCTGCTCTGCAGGAGAAAAGACCTGGGAAGCTGCTATCTTATAAAGATGACAGCCTAGGAAACCATATGGGGCAGTTCTGCTGGATCATACAGGGTCACTAGGAGTGGGAATTGACTCGACAGCAAACGACAGGAACACGGGGGAGACATTGGTGTGGGTGAGGGAGAGACAGCAGTGAATGTGGGGGCGGTGGCGGGGGACAGCCACTAAGTCACATGTCCCTGCCTGTGAGGCTGGCCCCGGGGAACCCTTTGGCACCTGCAACCCAGCAGCTCTCTTCTAGTACCTCCCGATTAGTCCCCTCTGTCGCCATTGCAGGCCCAAGGCAGAGCAGCTATCCCTCTCACCACATTGCCATTCCCCCTTGAAACAGGTTTTGCTGGGCTGGGTTGGGGAGGGTGTTTTTGTTTTGGGTTAGTGTTGCTTTTAATTAGGGCCTCCACCCAGAGGATGAAAACTCTATTCTGGACCACACCACCTCCGCTAGGAAATGGGAGCTCCCCAAAACATAGGCATCCTCATTGCAGGGGAGGTGGAAGAGATTTCTTGGGCTATATGGACTTAGCGAGGGCCTCCTAATGGGAGGCGGACTGGGGGCAGAGAGAATGGTGCCGGTCGTTAGGGCCTGTGGTTTGAGGGGTAGTTTGTACCTCCACTTGGCTGTGACATTTTAGGGACTTGATTTATTTGCCCAAGCTTCATGCGGTCTCCTTTCTTTTACAGACAGAGATTGCGAAGAGACTGAACACAATTTTAGCGCAGATCATGCCTTTCCTGTCACAAGAGGTAAGACCTTTCTTTTATTGTTGCCTTCCTGTTCTTCCCAAACCAGCCTAGTGGCTGGCTGGGTCTGGCTGTAGCCACAGCCCCCTGTCTGTTCATCCTTCAGCATAACTGATTGAAGGTCTGGGATGTGCAGAGCCTTCTGCAGCCAGTTCTGGGCAGGTGGGTCATGTCAGAGGCATTGGTTGCTCCTTCTTCTGATAGCAAGGGTTCTCTGCCACCCACCTGAGACCAGAGAGGAGGGTCCTGGCCTGCAGCTGAGCCAGTGGTAGGTGTGCGTGCCTCTCTGCTCACGGAAACCGGCATTCCCAGCCTCTGCTTTTCTGTGCCCCGAATGCCCACCCCTGGAAGTATCTAGGAGCAAGGGAGGCTGGTCAGCCAGTGTCAGGGGCCACACCCTGTGAGGGAAACCAATACCCACGGGATCCCAGCCCCCAGGCACAGGGTACCCTCACCAGAGGTGTCATCAGCTGGTCCCATCATCTTTTAAAAACACCTTCCAAGGAGCCCCCACTTGTGGCGCAGGGGCTGGGTTAGTGGGTGGTTCGAGGGAAGTATCTCCAGGGGGGCGCCTTGATGCAGGGCAGGCAGATGGGCCGAACGTAGCGGTTTTCATCCACGTTGGGCTCACTCCAACCTGCGCGTGAACCTGGCAGGCCCTGCCCTCCCACTCCCTCTAGTCCTGTGGTGGCGGGGACTACATCAGTGCCTTCCATTCCTGGGCCTGAGAAGGGGATATGGCCATGTCCACGGACCTTGCAGCCCAGTAGGGGAGACAGCTGTGTACACGGCAGGTGTGGTTCAAGGCCGAAGAGAATGAACGTGCAACAATTTATGTTCTCCCTGTAGAAATAATTAAAAAAAAGAACTCCCTTCCCGCCCTTTCCCCACTTCCTCTTTGCTTCCTTCATTTCTGTCTGGACACATACGCATTTTTTATGGTTTGCTTTCTCTTTATATAGTGGATATAGGTTAGGTATCTAAAGAGACGTGCCCTGTATTTTTCTGATCCCTTCGAACGGAAGTTGGAGATGTCCTGCCAGTTTACTGCTAACAACGTTAGCTGTATCCCTGAGAATGAGAGCACCCTCCTTCATGAATACAACACGGTTCTCCATTTAGAAGATACATTATCATTCAGTAATACCATCCAATATTTAGCTCATATTCAGATTCATGGGAAGAAGTTTTTTGTATGTGTGTGTGAGGGAGGTGGTTGGCAAACAGCCATCTTTTGCTACTCATCTATTTCTTCTAGAAGTTAATTGGAAGAAAGTTTTGATTACAAAAGTAATACATGCTCGTTATTTAAAGAAGAAAATGAAAATCCCCTGCCACCCTCCATGTGTCCTGGAGGACCACTGTTCTGGTTTAGGGGGCCTCCTTCTGTCTTTTCTTTGTGGGCCTCTGTGACCGCCTGTCCCCAGTGGCCTCCCTGTGCTCCGCAGCCCACCTGCCGCCTCTCTGGCCAGGAGGGTGGCCTCGTCTAACCCACGCCCTGTTCCCTCCAGCACCAGCAGCAGGTGGCACAGGCAGTGGAGCGCGCCAAGCAGGTCACCATGACGGAGCTGAACGCCATCATCGGGGTACGTGGACTCCCCAATCTGCCTCTCACCGTGTGTATAGCCCTTTTATTCCTCTCATTTACTGTAACCAGAGATTGACCCTGACCTTAGCTGGCCTCAAAGAATGGCGGCCCCAGGGCTGCGGCTTCCTCAAGCATCTTATGCGGTTGGACCTATTTGGGGCACTCTCCCCGCTGGTTCCCAGTTGCCTCCCAGTCCCCGAATGAAAGGGGTGCCAGACACCTCAACTTGAGTCTCACCTTAATTAACTGCTAACAATTTCAGCTGCATCTCTCAGAATGACCAGGTTAACTCTGAACAGGTTAACTGATCAGAGTACCTGGCTGCCTCCTCACACCTCCCCAGGGCTTGTCTGCCCCGCCGCCTCCCCCCTGGCAAAGGCCCGCCCTTCTTTGGCCACCTGGGATCAGAACGCTCTCTGCTGTACTGTTGATGTGGGGTGTGCTGTGAGTTTGGGGCGGGGCCTTGCTGTCCTCTGCACTGAGCTGCCTGGCTGAGCATTCCTCACCTGTTCTCTGACTTCCAGCCAGAGCACTGTCTGAGCTTTTGGTGGTCCCATCTCATGTGGGAACAGGAAGAAATGTCTGACTGCTTTCTCAGGCCCACATCTGGTCTCACCTACCCCTCGGTGGAAAGGGGAAGCCAAACCTCTCCCCTTTAGCGCCCCTACCTGGCTTGCATCTTTAGTGTGGATATCTTGGGTTCAAGTAGCATTTTTCTCCTGCTTGCTTCTTTGATGTGAGGCTAAGGATATTTAAGATATGCACCTGAGAAAAAATGTTTTTTCAGTGTGACTTTGGTCAAGACTCTTACCCTTGGGGTCCACCTTTCATCCTATAACAAAGTGGGGGTGAATGGTGAGATCCCTGCTTCCAGTCCACAGACAGCTGAGTCAAGGTCCCCAGGAAGCTCCTGAACAATGAAGATTCCGAGGCATGCACCCCACTCTTCTTTTGGTTTTTGTGCTTTAAGTTAACGTTTACAGTTCAAGTCAGTTTCTCGTACAAATATTTATACACACATTGCAGTGTGACCCTAGCTATTCTGCCTATAACGTGACAGCACACGCCTCCTTTCCACCTCAGATTTCCATGACCATTTAGCCAGCTCCTGACCCTTTCTGCCTTCTCATCTCGCCTCCGGACAGGAGCTGTCCTTTTAGACTCAGGTATCTACTTGAGCTAAGAAGCACACTCTTCACGAGTATCATTTTATGTCCCATAGTCCAGTCTAATCTGTGTCTGAAGAGTTGGCTTCGGGAATGTTTTCAGTTCTGGGCTAACAGAGTCCAGGAGGCACGTCTTCTGGGGTCCCTCCAGTCTCAGTCAGACCATTAAGTCTGGTCTTTTTACTAGAATTTAAGCTCTGCACCCCACTTTTTTCCTGCTCGGTCAGAGACTCTCTGTTGTGTTCGCTGTCAGGGCAGTCATTGGTGGTAGCCGGGCACCATCTAGTTCTTCTGGTCTCAGTCTGATGGAGTCTCTGGTTTATGTGGCCCTTTCTGTCTCTTGGGCTAATATTTTCCTTGTGTCTTTAGTGTTCTCCATTCTCCTTTGCTCCAGGTGGGTTGGGACCAGTTGATGCATCTTAGACAGCTGCTCGCTAGCTTTTAAAACCCCAGATGCCAGTTGCCGAAGAGGGATGCAGAACATTTTCTTAATAAACTTTGTTACGCCAGTTGACCTAGATATCCCCTGAAACCATGGTCCACAGACCCTGCCCCTGCTAGTCTGTCCGTTGTAGTGTTTGGTTGTATTCAGGAAACTTCTTAGTTTTTGATTTAGTCCAGTTGTGCTGACTTCCCCTGTATTGTGTGTTGTCCTTCCCTTCACCTAAGATAATTCTTAATCTACTATCTAATTAGTGAATACCCTCTCCCTCCCTCGCCACCCTCGTAACCATCTAAGAATGTTTTCTTCTGTGTTTAAACCTTTTCTTGAGTTCTTACAATAATAGTTTCATACAATATTTGTCCTTTTGCAACTGACTAATTTCACTCGGCATAATGCCTTCCAGATTCATCCATGTTATAGATGTTTCACAGATTTATTGTTGTTCTTTATTGTTGCGTAGTATTCCATTACGTGACTATACCATAATTTGTTTATCCGTTCGTCCATCGTTGGGCACCTAGGTTGTTTCCATCTTTTTTGCTATTATGAACAGTGCTGCACTGAACATGGGCGTGCATATATCTGTTCATGTGACGGCTCTTATTTCTCTAGGATATATTCCAAGGAGTGGAATTGCTGGATCCTGTGGTACTTCTATTTGTAGCTTTTTAAGGAAGCGCCAAATCAATTTCCAAAGTGGTTGTATCATTTTACATTCACACCAACAGCGTATAAGTGTTCTAGTCTCTCCATAACCTCTCCAACATTTATTCTTTTGTGTTTTTTGGATTAATACTAGCCTTGTTGGGGTGAGATGGTATCTCATTGTAGTTTTGATTTGCATTTCTCTAATGGCTAATGATCGTGAGCATTTTCTCATGTGTCTGTTAGCCACCTGAATGTCTTCTTTGGTGAAGTGCCTGTTCATATCCTTTGCCCATTTTTTAATTGGGTTATTTGTCTTTCTGTTGTTGAGGTTTTGCAGTATCTTGTAGATTTTAGAGATTAGATGCTGATTGGATTTGTCATAGGCAAAATTTTTTTCCCAGTCTGTAGATTGTCTTTTAACTCTTTCGGTGAAGTCTTTTGATGAGCATAAGTGTTTGATTTTTAGGGGCTCCCAGTTATCTGGTTTCTCTTCTGGTGTTTATGGATCGTTAGTAACGTTTTGTATTCTGTTTATGCGATGTATTAGGGCTCCTAGCATTGTCTTTATTTTTTCTTCCATGATCTTTATTGTTTTTGATTGTATATTTAGGTCTTTGATCCATTTTGAGTTAGTTTTTGTGCTTGATGTGAGGTATGGGTCTTGTTTCAGTTTTTTGTAGATGAATATTGAGTTATGCCAGCACCATTTGTTAAAGAGACTGACTTTTCCCCCATTAACGGACTTTGGGCCTTTGTCAAATATTAACTGCTCATAGGTGGATGAGTTTACATCTGAATTTTCAATTCTGTTCCGTTGGTCTATGTATCTGTTGTTGTACCAGTACCAGGCTGTTTTGACTACCGTGGCAGTATAATAGGTTCTAAAATCAGGTAGTATGAGGCCTCTCACTTTGTTCTTCTTCTTCAGTAATGCTTTACTTATCCAATGCCTCTTCCCTTTCCATATGAAGTTGGTGATTTGTTTCTCCATCTCGTTAAAAAATGCCATTGGAATTTGGATCCAGATCACTTTGGGTAGAATAGACATTTTTACAATGTTGAGTCATCCTATCCATGAGCAAGGTATATTTTTCCACTTAGGTAGGTCTCTTTTGGTTTCTTGCAGTAATGTCTTGTTTTCATTGTATAGGTCTTTTATGTCTCTGGTTAGATTTATTTCTAAGTATTTTATCTTCTTGGGGGCTATTGTAAATGGTATTGATTTGGTGATTTCCTCTTCAAAGCCTTCTTTGTTGGTGTAGAGGAATCCAATAGATTTTTGTATGCTTATCTTGTATCCTATACTTTGCTGAAATCTTCTATTAGTTCCAGTAGTTTTCTTGAGGGTTCTTTGGGGTTTTCTGTGTATAAAATCATACCATCTGCAGATGGAGATACTTTTACTTCTTCCTTGCCAATTTGGATGCTCTTTATTTCTTTTCCTAGCCTAATTGCTCTGGCTAGGACCTCCAGCACTATGTTGAATGAAAGTGGTGATAAAGGGCATCCTTGTCTGTTTCCCGCTCTCAAGGGGAATGCTTTCAGACTCTCCAGTTAGGGTGATGTTGGCTGTTGGCTAAATGCTCTTAATTATGTTCAAGAATTTCCCTTCTGTTCCTATTTTGCTGAGAGTTTTTATCATGAATGGGTGTTGGACTTTGTCAAATATCTTTTCTGCATCAATCGATGAGATCATGTGGTTCGTGTCTTGTTTTATTTATATGATGGAGTCCATTGATTGTTTTTCTAATGTTGAACCATCCCTGCATACATGGTATGAATCCCACTTCGTCATGGTGAATTATTTTTTTGATATGTTGTTGAATTCTATTGGCTAGAATGTTTATGAGGATTTTTGCAGCTGTGTTCATAGGGATATTGGTCTGTAATTTTCTTTTTTTGTGGTGTCTTTACCTGGTTTTGATATCAAGGTTATGCTGGCTTCATAGAATGAGTTTGGGAGTATCCCATCCTTTTCTGTACTCTGAAATACCTTTAGTAGTAGTAGTGGTGTTAAGTCTTCTCTGAAAGTTTGGTAGACTTCTCCAGTGAAATCATCAGGGCCAGGGCTTTTTTTTGTTGCGAGTTTTTAAATTACATTTTGAATCTCTTCTTTTGTTATAGGTTTATTTAGTTGTTCTACGTCTCTTTGTGTTAATTTAGGTAGGTAGTGTGTTTCTAGAAATTTGTCCATTTCCTTTAGATCTTCAAATTTGTTAGAGTACAGTATTTCATAGTATTGTTATGATTCTTTTAATTTCAGTTTGGTCTGTTGTGATACCACCCATCTCATTTCTTGTTCGGGTTATTTGCTTCCTCTCCTCATTTTCTTTTGTCAGTTTGACCAATGGTTTATTGATTTTGTTGATTTTTCTCAAAGAACCAGCTTTTGGTCTTGTTAACTCTTTCAGTTGTTTTTCTATTTCATTTAACTCTGCTCTAATTCTTAGTATTTCCTTTCTTATGGCGCCCGAGGGCTGCTTTTGCTGCTCTCTTTCTACTTGTTTGAGTTTTGGGTTAATGTTTTGATCTTGGCCCTTTCTTTTTTTTGGATGTGTGCATTTATTGCTATAAATTGACCTCTGAGCACTGATCTGCTATGTCCCAAAGGTTCTGGTAGGATGTGTTTTCATTCTCGTTTGATTCTGTGAATTTCTTTATTCCTTACTTTAATTTCTTCTATAACTCAGTAATTTTTGAGCAAGGTGTTGTTCAGTTTCCATGTGTTTGATTTTTTTT